GAAAACCAGTCCACTATCCGATCAGGCGCAAGCGCTTCGCAAAGTGTCATCCTGTGCCTAAGGGCGTACCATCAACCTCCCCCCCACCCCGCCCCACGTTCGGCATTTGCCTCGAGCGCGCAGTCCCGATAACTCCTGTCCTGCCTTAATCATCCGACGCCTCCTTCTACATGGTCATTTAAGGGACACAACCAAAAATAGCAATATCCGGATGGCAGACGAAATAGCACTTTGTTCCGCAGCCCTACCAAGTGGTACACCCAGCAAGTCCAGGGGTGGGGGGATAGTGAAACAGTCGTACGAGTAAGTAAAAGTTATTTGGCATTTTTTAATGGCCCATTTTTCCAGCTACCTTCCAGCTGACGAAGTTCTTATGGGTTTGTATCAAATTCGGCCTGACGGGGTAAGCTCAAACAGATTTTGGGGCTACTAAAATCATTAGAGCTGTGGGTTCCGCCTAAATGACACGGAGCACACGACGGTGTTAGCAACTTCGAAGGGGGCTCCCTCCAGACGTCTATACCTAACAGGTTAAATCTAAAAAAGAAAGGTTTGCGGGATAAATGAAATCTGGCGGAGGTTATAAAATGTGTTTGACCTGGAAACTTTTACAAAAAAAACTGCCGGTAGCGAAGCAATAAGAAGTTGTAGCAAAACTCACCCGAAATTTATCTGTCGGAATGTAGTTGATGGGAAATCGTTTGTTGACGGCCACAAAACCTCCGCCGTAAATGATGGCGCGAAAGAGAAGCAGGAGCACGCGACGGCAGCTAATCGGTGGCAGTTCGCCCGTTTCGTAGCCCTCAAGGTAACTGCGGTAGTCACGATAGAAGACCAAAGGCCCGATGCAGACGCCGTGGAAGTAGAAGGAATAGGCGGCATACTCCAGGGGATTGGGTACATCCTCTACAGCATACGCGCGACTAGAAGGCTTCATCTTTGGAAAGTCGGGAGGCAGCGGAGCCTCTTTGGTCTCCTCCGAATCAGAATTCTTCTTGTTGGCAGCACCACCATCCCCGGCCGGCGCCAGATCGACCAGAACGGGTGACGGTGGC